TATCATGCAGAAAAAAAGAGGTCGACGAAATGAGAATGTGATAACAGAGAGGCATAAAGTCGTAATGAGCCATAACTGCTGACTGAATAAAGGAATAAATAAACGACATAAATCGATATAAACCTTAAACAATTCATCAGCATTAACATATAAACAATAAATTTTAACAGCAAGAATAAATTCGTAAGAAACACTTTTCATGAATACAAATAGAAGCGAACAAACCTGACGCTCTATATTGCGAACTGGAGCCGTCGCAGCGGGATAACCTCCGGCTGAATGCATTTGCGGAGGTGAAAGCGGCTCGTTTCCGTCGTTTTTCGACACTGCCGAGCTGCCTCCTGCACGCCAACTGCCTGATTCTGACAACCAAATCAATTGCTCATTGCTCACAACCAAACAACAAAAATGCCACATCCATCACAAATATAATCTCATACCCTCCTTGCTTAAATCACCAACTATCGAAAAAATCTCACGATCTAATTTGGAATACCCTTTCATGAGGACACGACACTTTCAACGTCAAACGATATAACTGTCAGAACTCAACTAAAGTCTACGATATGTGAACAGATAAATATCTAAAAAGAATCGAACTTTGTGGTTTCAAGCTGTCGTTGAATGTTTGGGGTTGTTTTGCTGAGGTTGCAGTTGCCGCAGCGAGAGAAGGGAAATCGCGTGCGGATGCAGTGGTCACAGCATTCGTATTCGTTTGTGCTTGTTGATTGGAATCCATTTGAGATGCAGGTTGTTTGGCCCACGTTGGCCGCAAGTCTGCGCCATGTGGCGTTCCTGTACCGCTGTTTGCCACTGGTGCACATCCTTGACCACCGCTACTCGATAACGTACTTCCCAATTGACCTACACCTGATTTACCCTGAAAAACGCTCACTCGATATTCAAGCACTACCCTAAAAAGACCATACCCACACCAGCAACAAATCAACTTGTTCATTCACAAATCAAAACAACGCCCAACAAAACCGTTGCCTTCCAAGACCCATCCACGAATATGCTGGTTGACATGCTAACAATAAATAATATTTTCAAAAATGCAATGAACGACAACGAAATGCGTTCTCTGAAACGGAACAAAATTTTTCTCAAATTCAAAATTCTATGGAAATTTCCAGGAAACGTAAGAGAAACGAACCGATAGATCTGACGATTGTGCATTATTTACTGCATTATCCTTATGCCAACCAGTACCACCTCAAATACAAAACATAATTATGTTCAATTGCAAAATCATTGTATTGCTCTATAATTTCAAGTCAAAAACATCAAAAATAATTGTTAATATAATAACGATGAATCATACGAAATCGTACAAGTGGTCATCTGTGAGGGTGAAATGAAAACAAAAGATGAAATATGAAATGGATTATTTCATTTAAAATACAGTATTAAAAAACAAACGCTGCACACCTTGAGGCACTAATGCAACGTTTGGATCTTGACCTTGACTTTCGGCTCTCAACGAAGGCAAGGTAGCCGGTGGAGGCATACGACGAACCACCGCTGTTGTCTTCCCCAAACTCTGTAATCCGCCATGCTTGCCCGACCCTGAACATAAATCATAACGATGACAATTATGAATTACGAATAACGCAATTATAATTACAACAGTAATATTAGGGTTACAATAAAAATGAAATTCTTCAAATGCACCAACCGGGCGCCTTAACGGCGTTCTGGTTTTTGCCTGCGTAGATGCTGTTCACGTTGTGTAGTTTAGGTTTAATGGCGCCCGCAGCGCCTCGTGCGGAAGACATGCAGATGAGTGTTCGCAAAAATGAAGAATAACAAAGACGAGAACGGTTTGCCGAAGGGGAAGAATTGTGACTGTTCACAGATTAAACACCTTAAGTATTAACACCATTATCAGATTAAACACCTTAAGCATTAGCACCATTATCACTCCTTATGTCTAATAACACTTCTATCACTCCAAATCTTCAGTGCAATTACCAATTCAATCAACACAAAGCCCAACAAAATAAATTAATAAAGCAACTAACAGCGTAAAAACAAATTCGTACACGAGGTACGCAACGTGGAGTTATTGCGGTCAAATATTACGACCTAACACTCCGACAGTTCCAGATGTGTTTTCTCGAGTACAATAACCGTTTGCACCTCTCAGTCAGTGCTTCCGATATATGCCGATTCTCTCTATAAAATTTTCACAAGTCACTGCTGTTGCCGCTAAAAACAACTTTTTTTAAAGCAATGACAACCAATGAATAAATACATAAATATATATAAATAAATACATGTTCTTTGAAGAATATTCTAATAGTAAAATATATATATGATATTCTCTCTTTTTTATCATGGTAATAAACATTCTAGGTAAATAAACAACAGTCGAAAAGACAAAAAATATGAACTACCTCAATAGAAAATGAAGTCTGTACACAGATGGAATAGTTCAGTTGAAGTCAATTGGAATAGAAATGAAAATGAATTTGAACGCAGATTTGTGTGTATAAACGTATGAATAAGTGTGTTGGTGTGTATTTGCTAATATCGACAAAATACTATTGAACAAACCGTATTCACAATAATTTATTCGTTTTGTGAGTTGTTATCCCCTGCAAATGACAATCAAAAACAGTTCAGTGAAAACAACGACAGTATATGTAATAAACGGCACTTTATAACGGCATTCATTATAACACAACCGAAATGAATGAAATAAACGCACTCGAAATAATACGCATTCTAAAATTTTTAAGCTCACCTATAAGTAAAAAATAAGATTATAAGGAAGAGTTTTAAATGGAAAAAAAGAAGAGCTTGAACTCGATTTTCCGTGTGAATGGACACAATGCGGAAAGCTGCAAAGCGCATAAGTGATCACTCACATCTGAGATACCTCAACTGTCAATGGTGATGGATGCTGAAATACTGAAAGTTGCTGAGACCAGTGATTAGTGTGGCATTCGAAAGTTTACGTGATAAATTCGCATTATGTTTCTGACGTGGTCGACAATGCTTAACTCAAATGAATTCAATTTTTACTCCATCCGTTAGGAATTCGAGCCTTATTTTGCCTAACAGAAATATAATCCAAGTTCATTTCAATACTTAAAATCAGTTTTTTCGTCAATATCGATCGTCGTTGCGGTGTGAGCAGTACGAGTTGATCGGATAGAGTCAAAATATGAAAGAAGGTGGGTAAAAAAGAGTGCATATGGCCAACAAAAGGACCACAGCTACGAAAAGTGATCGATTCTTGGTTGATGTTGTTTTTATGAGCGTGAAAACATACTAGTGCCACATGACGTCTTATCGACCTAACTTAATAGTGCTGCTGCTATGCAAGCAAGAAACAAAGTATAAAATCGCCCAAGACCCACACCGAACTATCGCTGTGATGCTCAGTCAATACGCACATTCCATGCAAATCTTCTTCGGAATTTCCGTACGCTCACCCATTATTTGATAAGTAAACATGAGGGGAGCACAGTCGGAAATAAAACGGTTTCAGACTCGTTAATTGTCTCAACGTAACAGATTAATATATGCGATTAATATTTTAAACTAATTTGCGCAACAAAT